TTTTTTTGCTGTGGGGTTATTTAAATGCCTCCCAACCCTGGCTGTATTTGTCCCAGCTCTTGTTTTGCCTGGCAAAGCAAACTACTAATATTTTCATCAAGTACTACCTGCAGAAATGGGACAAAGACCTTCCCACCACACAAAGCAACTTGCTTTTACACTGCTTCGGTTAAAAACCCACCGAGTTCCAATTCCATTTTAAATGAGCTGTATGTATCACGCACCACACAAATAAAACATGCCAATCAAAAAAAAAACCCCAAAAAAACCATACTTTGCACCTGAAAATAATTCGATTTATACTAAACAGCAAAGACGGATGTTTTCTTGGTGCTATTCCACATGGGCCGGTGACTCGGGGAGTGCAGCAAAGGGCACAGCACTCAACTCACTTGCTCCAAAGCAACATGGAAAAACACTGTGGGAACACAGAATCGGGAGCTCAATCAGAAATTCGCCAATTTTCATATTTACTACTCAAACCGATCGCACGTAGGTCTGGGACCACGTACTACCCCTCGCCTCCACGGGGACAAGAAGGCACGTGGGAGGCGCTGGTGGCCCATTCCTCTGGGAGAGAGGAACCTGCCGGGACCCACAACAGCCCCAGAACCGCAGCCCCAGAACCGCAGCCCCCGCCTCTCCCCGCCGCCCGCCCAACCGGGCCCATTACCACTCTCCACCGGCACTTCCGGGTCCCGACCCGCCCGCCGGCTCCGCCAATCGCGTTCTTTCCTTGGCACCCTCCGAGACGCGGGATTGGCTGAGAGGGATCTGCCCCGCCCCCCCGCGCCGCGCCCCTCGCGCCGCCGTTGTGTCCTCACGCCCTGATGAATGGGAGGCACCAGCGCCGCCTCCGCATTGGCTCCTTGCCCGCCCTGCGCCCGCCCCCGGCCCGCGCTGATTGGTGCCCGCGGGGCCCGCGGCGCTGCGATTGGCCGGCGGCCGGTCTGGCGAGGGGTGAGGCGGGCGCGCGGCGGGGGTGGCGAGGCAGAAGCGGCGGGGCCCGGAACCGCGCTGTGTTCGCTGCAATGACCGAGGTGTGGGGGGCGCCGGGGCTGCGGGGAGCCGGGGGGACCTGGGGGGCTCCGGGTACCTTCCCCTCACTCACCCGCTGCCGCCTTTCCCGCAGGCCGCGTTCCAGAAAGCTGCCGAGGAGGTGAAGCAGCTGAAATCGCAGCCCACGGACCAGGAGATGCTGGACATCTACAGCCACTACAAACAGGCCACGGTGGGCGACGTGAACACGGGTAAGTGCCGCTGGAGACGCTTCGGGAGGCAAAACCTGTCCCCGTTGCGCTTCCCTCAGTCCCGCGGCTCAGCGCAAGTGACTCGGTGCCGACTTGGCACGGATTTGTGTGCGGGAGGGCACAGGCGGACCCGATAAGGCCTTGTGCAATTCGGGCTTTTTAGATAAACCCGGCTGCCGCCATCTGTACCGCGCACTGAGGGCCTGAGGATGCTTTGTGCAAATATTGGCATTGGGATTTTTGGAGACCCTCTGTCAGTAGGTAGCTGCTCAGGCCGAAGGGTGCTGCTTTCATGCAAACACTTCTCGGTTATACAGACTTGAACAGCGAGGCAAACGATACAAGGGTGGAATTGCCACACTAGAGGGGATGACACATACAGTTTATTTAGACTGGATTGGCTGCTAAAAATAGTACTGGAGAGCAAAACCAGTAGAGGAGAAAACTTTTATAGGAGCTGCAATTAAATATATTTCAGAAAGTCTGTACCTAAAATATGTCTGCAAGTACACAGTGCAAAATGTTTCTGGCTACTGCTCTCGCTACAATGCTGTCGATGGCAGCTCAGCCTTTGGAATAACGTTTTAAGTGTAGCGTGTCTCTATCGACCTTGTGTAATGCTGTAGTAGCTAGAATTAGAAAGGGAAAAAGGTCATTTCTTTGGAGTGCTGGCCTCCTAACCCAGTAGCTGGCAAAGTTTATTGAGTGTTCTTTGATTTAAAAGCTGGCAGTGAAGCGTGCAGGAAATGGTAAGTAATTTAATCTCCTTTTTTCCAAAGGTGGCAACGTGAGGGAGAAAAAAAATGACTTTGGGGTTAAGATGCGATCCTTTTGCTGTGGCTGGACCTCAGCAGTATTAGTGCTTGACAGGCTGAAAGGGTGCTCCAGAGCTGTGAATATGCCACCATTCCTGCAAGTGCCTGCACTCCCGTGAAGCTGCAGCCAACGAGTTGGCTGGAGAAACAGCCTGTGGGAGGGTGACTGGTGAGGTTTGTGCTGCAGAGAAGTGGAGCTGCCAACTGGAGCTACAGGTCACTGTGCCATGGGAGCTGCCCAGATCCATTTGTGAGTTCTAAGAATTGTCTTTAAGGAGAGAAAGAGAGAGGAAGTAAAACCACAAAGAGGACTTTACACAAAGATTAACCGTATACATGTCATTCAGTTTCTACTTGGCCACATCACAGCCTGCAGTGAAGTGAGTCAGATTTTCAACATTTCCAAATGCAGATGCAGAACTATAGGTTAGAAACACATGATGATAATGAGTTCTAAGCTGTATATTACTACAAACAGCTGTCTGTTTTTGTGTCTCTGCCTGTAATGGACCTCAGGGTATTTCAGCTTTACCTTAGAGCTAGTGTTCTTTAATTGGATTGCTTTTATGTGACAGCAGGCTCTTCAGAAAGTACAACTAAACCAAATCACAATAGTTGGTGCTCTTCTGCTCAAATGTTGCTGTATCAAGGGAATTTGAAAGAGTCTATTTCTGTTGTCACCAACCATGTTATAACATATTCCCCTCAGGTGATCTGCTGGCTACAGGTTAGCAAATAACAGCTGCAGGGATGAGCCATTGTATTTACTCACGGTTAAGAGCTAACTAAGCCTTCAAGTGGGTATTACTACAGCCAGATCACACAAACTAATCTTGCTGCTTATCCTGTCTCTCTCAGAGCGCCCTGGCATGCTGGACTTCAAAGGTAAAGCAAAGTGGGATGCCTGGAGTGCATTGAAAGGTATGTGTCTGATTAAATAAATGAATAAAATTACCACTGGAAAGCTAGTCAGAAAGACACGTGTAGTTCAGCAAGAAACAGAACGGTGTTGCATTTTGATACAAGAGTTCTAGAAGTTCAGAATGCCACGATAATAAACTTGAATTACCTCTCCAAGACAAAAATAATCCTGAAAAATATGGCCTGTGTGAAAGGGAATTAGGGTGCAAAATACCCGGCTGGCCTAAGATGTTAAATAAAGAGGAAGAACAGCAGCAGAAATCTCAATTTGTTTTCTTGGTCCCAGCCTAGTACCCCAAAGACTGAGCTCTCCCTCCAGCTGTTGAGCATCTTCCAGCTAGGAAAGCTTTGGAAGAAACAACTGAGCTCCCAGCTCTAAATGAGGAGCCAAACAAGTGGTCTAATCTATGTCAATAGGTCTTTTTGTCTCTTGTTTTAAAGAATAGCTTTCCTGTAATAATTGTCAGAGACACTAACAGAACTAATACACTGCTTGGTTGCTGTCTGTGCAAAAACAACTTTGCTTAGAAACATTGTTTTTTTGTGACTGTTGGAATGCATTTGTTTAAAACTTTAGCAGTGGATTCACAGCCAGGTGACCTTCCTGGCTCCTTTGCTCTGGTGGCATGGCTATAGCGAGCAGTTGTGACTTGTAAAAGGCATCTTAATCTTTGAAAGGTATCTGACTGCTTCCTGTGTTCTGTCCCTCAGGAATGTCCAAAGAAGATGCAATGAAAGCTTACATAGCAAAAGTGGAAGAACTAAAGGGCAAATACGGCATCTGAGGACTGGATAAATCAACTACATGCACGCCTGAAACCTGCCTTATTTCTAATAATGTAGAAAACTGGTTTCTAAGAGTAACTTTAGATACCTAATGTGTCATAGTCGGTTCTCCTCACGCCTGTAGTTGAGGAGAAGTTATGTACCTGCCTAATGTACTGACACGGTATAAATTCCTTCTGGGAACAAAAATGTGGAACTCATTAAAGTGCATTTGGTACTTTAGCTGTTGTGCTGGTCATCCCTTAGCGGTCACTGTGAGCTCATCCCTGTCGCCGCTGCCGAGCAGAGCTGCCTCCCCCGTCCTTGTGCCACTAGAGGGGGTCGGTCACCTGTGTTCGGGCACTGCCGACTCCTGTCCAAAGCACTCCTTTCCAGAGAGGTGAGTGGCAAGCCACAGAAGCTGGAGCACCACAGAACCTATCTGGAAAAGGTTATCTCTAATGCTCTGCGTGCTAAGAACAAGGTGCTTGATACTTGTTGCCCAGAGCTTTCAACAGCTTTTTAGTCAACAACTGTCAAATCATCTTTCATGAAACACATCTGGGGCATGTTATTTCCCAACAACAATGTTTGGCTTCTAGAGAAAAGGCAAATACTGAACACAAAGCCTTCCCTGGGAAAGGAAAGGTTCCACAGGCAGTGGAGTTGATTCTCTTGATGCTGTAAAAGCAAGAGAATCAACCTGATGTTGCCATGCAGTTGGCTGCAGTGAGGGGTGAGTCACGTACAGACTAGCTGAACACTGGCAAGACTGCTCAAAGAGAAAGACTTAGTGATCATCAGCAGAAGTTCAATTACAAAACACACAGTTGTGACTGTCTGTAGTAAGCTAATTGTTTTGGTCTGCCTCGTTTAGTCTCTTGGAGCTGCTGATGATGGAAAGGGAAGATTTTGCTTTTAAAATGTGACACCGAACTATTCCAGCATAGAGCATTTGAGGATGAAATCACAATCTTGCACAGGAATAAGGCATTATAATTCCTGCTGTACTGGTTGGCATCTGAATAGGTGAGGACTTCAAGCACTCTCAGATAAACAATTGATTTGTAGAACTACATAGGGATGAAAACTATCATTATGTATCTGTCTAGGTAAATAGTTTTGTAGCTAGTTATACATGGTAAGTAATAGATTTGGAGATTACTTCACATGCTTTCAAAAATTGCAACTTCCCCCTTTATTACTTTTAATGGGAAATGCTCTTAGAGCTGCTTTTTGTCCTTCAAAATGTGTTAGGATACAGAGCAAAACAAAAATGGCAATTTATTCTTGTTCCTCCTTGTTCTGGGTAAGTAAAATAAGCATTTGGGGTTTTTTACCTGCTGTTATATCCTCTGTTACTTGAGATTGTCTTAATTTACTTTGCAAGAGAGAGGTAAGAGCAGATGTTCACCATAAGAAATGCTTTTACCTCTTCTCTAGCCCTAAATTCCACATCTTCTATAGCTCCATCTTGGCAGCTGTATTTTGTGAAGCTGATTATCCTTAAAGGATTCTGCCAACCTTTACGAAAGCAGAGCTCACACCAGCAAATGCTCCCACACTGCTCTTGTTTGCTGGAAGCTAATGCACTGTGAGCACACATTTTTTGCCAGCACATTTTCTGTCAAAACAGGTGTAGCCAGAATTTTTGACCGCTAACTGGTGGAGCTGGGTCTAAAGGATAAGCTGGGAGTAGCGAGTTCTATATCTCAGTCCTCATTTGGATTAGTTTCCCCTGTGAACAATTAATTGTTCCAGTGCTGCTCTCCTTTCTCATACCTCTAGTGTTAGGAAAACATCACTTTGTACACAGTGCTTATCCCAGAGAGGGTTTGCTCTTAGCCAGGCTCAGAAATAATGCTATTTGCCAAGAAATACAGGTGACTGAGAACTCTACCTTGTATGTCTTTATTTGGATACTTAATTTTTTACTGTAATAACACCTTTCT